TCCACACCTCATTAGTGGAGAGGAGCGCCAGTCAGCCAACATCAGACTCAGCTGCACAGGGGAGCAATGGATGGGGGTGGGTGGGAGATGGTGGGGGGTGTGTGTGTGGGTGTGATAGCCATTCCCCTCTGAACTGCTCCTGTCCCACACAAGGCATGCAGAGGGTGCTACCAGTGTCGGTGCATAGACACTGGAGCGTAAGTACTACATAAGAACGGCCAGACTGGGTCAGACTAATGGTCCATCTAACCTAGTATCCGGTCTTCCAACGCTGGCCTGTGCTCAATGCTTCAGAGGGAATGAACACAACAGGGCAATTGCTGAGTGATCCATCCCCTTAGTCCAGTCCCAGCTTCTGGCAGTCAGAGGTTTAGGGACACCCAGAGTATGGCCTTGCACCCCTGGCCATCTTAGCCAATAGCCACTTATGGGCCTACCCTCCATGAACTTATCTAGTTCTTTTTTGAACCTTCACAACATCCCCTGGCAATGAGCTCTGCAGGCGGGCCGCGTCGCGTAAAGTACTGCCTTATGTTTGTTTTAAACCTGCTGGCTATTAATTTCATTGGGTGACCCCTGGTTCTTGTGTTACCGGAAGGGGAAATACACTTCCTTATTCACTTTCGCCAAACCACTCATGATTTTACAGATCTCTACCACATCCCCCCGCCATCGTCTCTTTTCTAAGCTCAACAGTCCCCGTTTTTTAATCTCCCTGTATGGAAGCTGTTCCATATCCCTGTTTGTTTTTGTTGCCCTTCTCCGTACTTTTTCCAGTTCTAAAATATATTTTTGCAACTGGGTCAGAGCAGGTATCCCCTTCTGAAACGCACTAGAACGACAGGGCCCTGCAGCATTCAGAATTGGCACGGAGAGCATGGGGGGTACGGGGAGAATGTAGGGGAGTCAATCCAACAGCAACCAGAGAGCTCTGCTAAAACCACTGCAGCCACAGCTCAGCCTCTTCAGCCTTTCCCCTGCATTGGAAATCCGGGTAGAACCAGGGAAATATCTTCCCCCTTCACCGTCGCTCCCAACTACAGGGGTGGGGAAATCGGGTGCTTTGGAAACATTCCCTAGCAGGATCCACCCCCTGTTGTAAATTATTCCCTGCAAGAAGAGACGCCAAATCGGCTGCCACCAGGCCCTTAAGAGACACTGATGTTTCAGTTTCCAACCGTTCCCTCTCCGCTGGCTCCCCCATCCCTGTGCAGCAGCCGTCCATCTGGCTGAGATATGCAAGTCATGACCGAAAAGCCCCTAATGGAAATAAATGACATGCTCTCCCCGCTGCTCCAGCATGCAATAAATTCCTCCCCAGCCACCCCACCCCCACCACCGATCCAGCTTTTTTCCAGTCAGCCCTTCACTCCTCATTAACATTCCCCTCTCATGCCCACCCAGGGCCATGTAAAGCCCACAAGGCAAAGAAATTCCAACCTGCCCCATAACAACAATGCTTTTCATCTATCCACCCCACAGTGCTCTACAGTCTTGTACAAATGGGGAAACTGAGGCAGAGAAGGGACATGACTTTCCCAAAGTCAGACAGCTGGCCAGAGGGAGAACTAGAATGCAGGTTTCCCAAGACCCAGTTCAGTGCCCTAGCCCTTGGGCCATGTTCGCTGACAGCAAGGGGTGCGCCTTTTCTCCCTTAGACCAGCCTCTGACCCCTTCTGTAGTTGTACCTTTCCCCTTGTACTCATGCCCATCCCAGGAGAACCAGAGCTGTTCTTTGCTGGAGTTGTAGCTATCATAAGCACCTTGGCTGAGCAACCTCCTGCCTTCCTAGAAACAAAGGAGTCTCATATCTCCACCCCCAGCAGCAGCCAGGAGCTGCTGCCTTCAAAGAAAGGTGTAACCTCTAATAAATTTGTTAGTCTCTAAGGTGCCACAAGTACTCCTGCAATTCTAACAGGGACTCCCAAGCTTTTCCTTAGCATGAATCACATCATCCTGGCCAAGATGTCTCATGGGGCACCCCCGCACTTGTCTCCATGGGGAAGGAGTTATCCTTTAATGCAAGTCAGCAGCGGGAAATTAAGAGAACCATGAACAGCTGCTAGGCCCACCACGAAGGGCCCTTTGCCTCACCTCTCTCTGTCCCATGATCCAAGCATGTACACAGAAGGAGATTTTAAATTCCCTGCCATGCCCCCAATCAGCGTAGATGCCAAAGCACTAGGGCAGGTTATTTTAGTTTGGGTAAGATACAAGCGAGATCGTTGAGCAGAGCAAATCAGCCGTAGCTTCCGGGCAAGCAGCAGCCAGAGCCCGTGGCAGCAAAAGGATGGGACAGATGCTGGCTTCCTAGTGGGCAGAAAGCTCAGCTCAGAATAATCTGGGGGACAGGATAACATTGCTATATACATAACAATCCTGGCAATCAGCGCTGATGGGGAAGGAGAAACAGGTTAGCAGGAGGGGATAGTGTATCTCCAGAGCCTGGGCAAGGGGGGTAGCAGGCTATGGGGGGTGGCAATTACTCCCAGGGGACAGAGGGACTGGGGGACACTTTTGCAAGATGCAAGGTGACCAGCTTATGGGAAGACAGCTTCCAGCACTGCCCCCGGGGCAGTAGTGAGCAAGGTGGGATGTACACACCACGTAGCAGGAAGTATTTCTGGATAACCAAGAGAGCACACAGATCTAGTGCTGCTGTAAGGGCTGAGAGTCTTCCAGCCCCCATGCAGCATATGCCGATGTTTATCAGGGCAGCCCGATCACGGTGCGCTAAAATCCTAATGACCACACACCCGGGGCAAGGAGCTTGGACCAGCCCGGAAGTTCTAAGCTCTCCTTCTCTGTTGTCAGTCGTCGCAGAGGGATCTGGGGCCTGGCTGGTCAGGTTTCTGGGAAGGCACCGCTTGCCTGGTAAGATGAACAGAGCAAGTCGCAGCTGCCCAGAAGTGCAATCTGCGGAGACTACAATTCCCAGCACCCACCACTTTACGCAAGAGAAGGGCAAGCGCAGAAGTGGACACTGGCCATCCTCTGCCATAAAGAGAGGTGCACACCCCCGAGTCTCCGTCTCTGACGGTCCCTGTGCCCACGATCACCCTGCATCTTTGCCATTGCTAGCCGGAGCTGGCAAAAGATGCTCTGAATAGCTAGATGGGTTGCTGATGGAGACACTTTTCTGGTCCTAAAAATAGCAGCTGGCCATTTCCCCAGCTTCCCGGCCTCGCCAACGCTCTTCCATTAGATGGAAAGGAAAAAAAAACCCACCTTCCGCTGGAAAGAGAGATGCAGGCAGGCACACACGAGCCACAAATAGAAGCAGGGGAGAGCGCGCAGAAGAGGAATCAAAGCGGTTCCATCCCCAGTTACTCCCGAGACATTTTAATTAGCACTCGTTCTGACTTTGAGGCTTTGCTTATGCACAGTGCAATGCCTGACCTTTACAAGGAGCAGCGATGGGAAAGGAAAACGCACTGTAGCAGCAGAGAAGTCAGCAGAGCTCCAAATACAACGGGCGTTTAGAGGCTTTTAATAAATGACAGTGAGGAATTTAACACCATCGGCGCTATTTCTGATCAGGGGAAGAAAAAGAGGAGGGGAGGGGGAGGAGACGAGGCGGCAGCCAAGGGTACATCCTTGGTGGCAGCGCTGAAAATAACCATGTTACACTCAGGCGCCATTACCGCACAGAGTGACGGTGGGGGGCACAGCGCAAAGAGGGGAGTGAGCCACTAATTCTGCCGCCCACTGACCTTTCCTGGAGTTTCAGCCAATTGAGATCACCAGCAACAGGACTTGGATGGTCTCCAGTGGATGCCAAAAGATTGAGAAGAGGTGATAAGAGCACAGGAAGAGGGAGGGCCGACTGATGGGCGTCCTTAGCCAAGTCACTCCCTGCTCTGTGCCTCACGTGGGCTTCAGGATACTCCCCAACCGCCCGGAGGCCCCACTGAGAGAGGGCTTTGCAGTCCTTCTCCCGAAGGAGCTAGGAGGTCAGTATCAGATTAAGACTCTGGAGGCAGATGGTGCCATTTGTGAGACCCACTTCCTAGCACAGGCTCTGGGACAGGAAGGAGGAGAACCAGATTTTCCGCCCTGTTCCAGCCCACTCCTCCCCCTAGGTGATGCTCATCTTCTCTGCCATTTGAGGTGGCAGGTGGGGATTCGCTAGCCCTCAGGGAGACACACTAAGCAGATCACTCCTACTCCCAGCGGGAAGGCTGAGCACAGCACCAATCCAGCCTCAGACACTGGCCAGAGCTAAGGAGCCTTCACCAATATCAGGGTCAAAAATCCCAGGGATGGGCCACAGCCAACGGCCATCCCAGTACATGGAAATATATTGGGTACTCCCATGGCATTCAGGAAGGATCTGTCCCCCTCTCCTAATCTGGGAATGAAGCCAACTCAGAGCTTCCATGTTGGAGGATTGGGAAGCTCTCAGGACGTCTGGGGAAGATGGAGCAGCATGCTCCAGGGAGGGGGTCAGACACTTTCTGGCCAGCGGCACGCTCCTCCCAGAAATGCAGACAGTAGCACGAGCGCTGACAGGAATCCCTACAGGCATATGCAGAAGACCATTTCACAGGGAGAGCTGAGGTGGGTGATCAGGGCGGGTGGGAAGTAGCGTTTTGGTTTTAACTCCCTGCAAGCCATTACTACGCAGAAGGAGATAAGATCCGAGTCTAAGGCTGCCCCACTGGGCCGTCGGCACCTAGGTTTGCACAGCACTAATCCTTCCATTCAGGCGGATTGTTCTGCAAGCTGGTGCCAGGGGATGAAGAATGTGACTTAGACGAAACCTTCAGCATGGTTCTCCATGGAGATGCACCCCGCTAAGGGGACCCCTCACAGACCAACCCTACATGCCTCTGGGGCGACCGCTCCCAGCTTCACCCATCCAGACCACAGCTGGGGCAGGAACACCCTCACAATTAGCACGTCACCTGCAGAGGAGCACTGTGCAATTTGGCTGGTGCAAACCATGGGTTCCGTTCCACAGGCTGAACCTGCCTCAGAAGAAGGTCACACACGGCAAGTTGGGGCTTTTGTTTTCTTTAATTGATCAAAGCGATATATCGGCATCAATCTGTCTCACGCCATCTGTACAAACGGGCGGGGGAGGGAGGGGAAGTCGGGCCCAGCCCCAGTCCATGGCTTCTGCACATCGACAACAGAATCCCTGCAACACACACAAGTGGAAAGGTTTGAAAGGGATCCAGGCTAAGGGAACAATGAGGAACACAGTGTCTTTCCTCTGGGGGCTTGGAAGTTGTTCATGGCCAACAGCCATTTTGTGGCCTATGTGAAACAAGGCATTGAGAACCACGAGCACCCTTGACAGCCCCAGGGGAGTGGACAAGGAGCAAACCGGCCATACAGACCAAGCTCTCCTCTCATCCATGAAGATGACCAGGGGCTAACAGCTGGGCAACCTGTCCTCTTATACCTGCTCAGGTGGTCTCTGGGGCTTCCCGTGCAGCACCTTTCAAACCCAGCAGGCACTCAGCCAAGCGCCAAGGCTCAGCATGCCATATGCTGGCAGGATCGTGCACTGAGCTCAGGGGGCACTGGGCAGAACCACAGAGACAGGAGAAATTCGCTCTCACTGAGGAGATCAGCGTCAAAATGGGGGTGGAGGCATGTGTAGCTATTTAGCTTAGGATGGCACAGCCTGCCATACCCCCCACCTGTAAGTCAGACTCCCACTACCAGCCCATCCCCAAATTTGCCCTGCCGTGTCCGAGGCTATATCTAGAAGCCTTCAGACCCCACAGCGAAGTCTGTAAATAGCAGTGAAATCAGAGTGCCACTATGAATGCAAAGACTCCAGCTTGGGTCAGGAACCGATTGTGTCCAGGCATTAGCTACCTTCCAGTCATTCGCTAACCAGGCACCCCTCCTGCCCTGCAGCCATGATCAGAGACTGACCTGGCCCATGCTGCCATCTAATGGCAGAGGTCTGCTATGGCAGGGGCATACCCCCAACTGCTTTCGTGTCTGCATCTGGTTGTTCACCAAGGGCCAGGGCTGCAAGAGGGTTCCCTCCTCCATCAGGGCAGTCAGGGAAGCTTGGCTGTTGATACACCAATCTCCCACTGGGCTGAGTAGCCCTGCGCCGTGCCGCCTCAGCCCTTCTAGATGGGGCTTCAAAGAGGACTGAGTTAACAACAAAGATCGGAGCTCCCCACCAGGCCACGTTACAGATGAAGTGAGCTGTAGCTCACGAAAGTTTATCCTCAAATAAATTTGTTAGTCTCTAAGGTGCCACAAGTCCTCCTGTTCTTGTTACAGAAGACGCTTACCCTAATTACTCCAGGGCTTTTACAAGGGCCTCACTGGCTTCTACGTTAATCTGGGCTTCTACTTTAGCCGTTTCGTCAGGTGCTGCAGCCAGCTGGGATAAGGCCTTATCCAGATTCGACTTAGCAGTCTGTAAACACACAAGCAAGGGGAAGAGTGGTCACCGGGAGATTAGGAGCAGGAAGTACGTCAGATCACAGCTGCCTCTGGCACTGCTGGGGATTCTGGGGCTGGAACAGCTACTCCCTGAAGTGCATCACTGAGCTGAGCGGGTGGCTGTTATTATGGGGACTGGACGTAATGAGCTGGGCCCCACACCAGTACTGGGTGCCCAGGGTGGGTGCTCAGGGACATCCTTATACCACACACTGCTCATTCAAGTCAAGCCCCTTTTCAAGCACACAGGACCTACGAGGACAAATTTGTCTCAGCAGAGGCCATGGAGACAGACCAAGTGACCTTCTCAGTCAGGGGCACTGTCTGGGGTGTCCCTGGGCTGTGGTTAGACAGGACCTGCTGCCCCAAGTCAGCCAGCCAGGCCCCTTTCCCCAGAGCAGCTGTCACTTTAAGAGAGTCAGCAGCGCTGCAGTAACAAACCGCTCTTAAAGGGCAAGGGCGTATTCAGCAACGCCACACCAGGCAACTGCTGAGCCAGCAGCATTAAAACCCTCCTGGGAGGGCACCGAGGCGGCTTGTCCTTGGCTTCAGGAGCAAACCCCAGCAGCCCAATGTTGCAGCCTTTGCAGCGCAGGCTAGCCCTGCGCACCGGCACTCATCCACACACAGTGTGTGTAGAGAGGCCTGTTCCGTGGGTCTGAGGCCAGCCTGGGCATCGTGCAGCCTACTACAGGGCCCCAGGTTTAAAAGATGGGCCCCCCAAGACTTTGAAGCAGGTGGGGCATTGCGAAAGATCGCTGAACACTCCAGGACAAAGGGAGGCAGCTTGCAGGGAGGGGTTAACTCAGCTTCTGTCCCTTGTATCCTTTAAAGGAAGGTTTAATTCTATGATCCTGGGCAGTGGGTGGAGAGCTCAGGGTGAGGAAACAGACCTTGATCTGGGAAAGCCTTCCTCAGCCACAAGAAGCTCCTGAGACAGGCAGAAGCTCCTGAGACAGGCAGCCCACGCAGGAGGAATGGGGAGCGAATCTCCCATAGGAGACCTCAGCATGTAGTTGGATTCTTTGCCCTGCTAGCAAGCGGGGCCCAGCCCAGCCTGTTCCCCGCCACCCAGGGTGGGCAGGCGACTGCAGGGTACTCACAGTGAGATCCAGCATGTCCAAAGCGGCCACCTCTTCTGCCAGCAGCTGCACAGAGGAGTCTGCATTGACTGTGATGGAACCACTGCTCACTGCAAACACAACAGCAGGGGGACGGAGTCAGTGGCTGTACTGGGTGGCCCCCAGGTACAGGGCAGGGCTGTGAGCTAAGCCTGGTTTGTGGGGCCAGGTCACAGGACCACGGTGGCAGGAAGGAGTCTGAATGGCTGGCACCCCCGTCTGTATCTAGTGGAGCTTACACATTCTTAGCCCGCCCCCACACCAGGTCTGTTGTCAACTATCACTGCCCCAGGCATCAGGCGCTCTAGTCACCAGGACAGACTACCCAGACCTGCCAGGGGACTGGCGCACGTTCCAATGGTGGATCTTCACTTGCCACTCACCCAGGTCATTTCTTCGCTTGTTCTAGGACTCTTACAGCATCCTCCAGCTGAACACCTCAATGCACTTCGCAGAGGGCTCACAAACCTGCCAGAGTCCCTCCCCTGCCCCAGGAAGGAGGGATTATTTTACTGACAGGAGGGCTGAGGCAGAGAGATGAAGTGGCTTACCCAGACTCACACAGTACTAGAGCCATAAATAGGATGCAGGAGTCCAGATTCCCAAGAATCCATCTGTTGGACAACAGCCCCCTCCCAGACCCACAGACAGGACCTAGGGGGAGTCCAGGCTCCCATGATCAATGGTGAAGCAAAGATTCTCTCCCACAGTAACCCCAAAGGGGAGTCCTTCCCAGACAACAATTCCTCCCTGAGGCCTCCTTTCACACTTTCAGGACCCCACCCAGTTTCACACACCAAAGTACTTGGTCACTGTGCCATCCTCGGCAAAGACCGTCACAACTCCAGGTTTCAGGACCTGCAGGGTGGGAACGTGAGCCGCCAAGATGCCAAAGTTGCCGCTCAGTGTGGGAACGTCCACCTGCTTCACGGTGGCTCCGTTGTACAACACCTGAGAGAGGGGAAGGGTGGTTGGGAGCAGTTCTCTACCCCGACAGCAGGAGGCAGTACCAGGCAGACATCAAGCGTCCCTCATCCCATCCTGCAGCTCACTGGCTGAGCAAGGGCCAGAAGGGACCCAGGGAGTCTGCTCTCACAGCATGGGCACGACCTGCTGAGTTAACAGTATCCCTGCCCTGCCCTCCCAGGCTGAAGGGTCGAGCGGGTTCAGCGTAAGCGTACAGCCAGAACGCTTCAGAAGGGTGGGACTCGGGAGGTGGGGAGGGAGTGGGCCTGGCAAACACTGACTGGGAAAGCGCTCCAAGCGCAGGGGGGCGGCGTGAGGAGTCATGGAGTCGGGAGTGGGCGAGAGAGACAAAGGGAGCGGTTTGGAGAAGCTTGGGAAGAGCGTAGGGAGGCCTTAAAGTGAACCTTGACCGAGGAGGCTGATAGGAGAGAGATAGCGAGGCAGACTCCTCGCAAGTCCTGCCTTGCAATGTTAATGCTCTGTTCCAGCCCTGGGCATCCCCCGCCCCCCCAAGGCACTCTGCCAGTGTAACCTCAGACTGGAATTGCAGCACCCCCTGCTGGCCCAACCCTTGGGCACCCACCCCACTCCCCCCATGCACCTCAATCCTAACCTGCAGCACCCCTTGCTATCCCAGCTCCGGAACATCCCCCCCACAGCTCTGCCAGTGCACCTCAATCCCAACCCACAGCACCTCAGTTAGCCCAGTCCTGAGGCCCCATGCTAACCCTGGGCACCTCCGTGGCAGGAGACGCAAGCCATGCCAACCCACACACAAGAGCCACCAGCACCATTAGGAATCAGACAGACCAAACATCTCACTTGTGAGCCAACCCTGACTACACAGGTACGGGGAACACAACAGCCACAGCAGCTCCTAAAAGGCAGGACTGGAGCGTCAGGAATGCTGAATGTAAGGGGTGTGGCAAACTGGATAAGTGTGGGCGCAGAGCTGGCATAGCAGGGGGTGCTGCAGGATCGAGAATGTACTTCGGCTGTAATCCTCAGGGCGGAGCTCGCCTTTTCGCTGTGTGTGCAGGGCCCAGCATATCGGGGCCCTGATCTACGACTGGGGACTCCAGTGCTACTGCGGCACAAACGCACAACAGAGCTGGGGAGCTTCAGAACTGGGTGCTGAAGGGTCAGGTTAAGGTGCACTGGCTGAGCTGCATGGGGGCCCCAGGACCAGGCTAGCAGGCTGGGGGTTCAGGACCAGGACCGAAGAACACTAGCAAAGCAGCCTGGAAGATTAGGTTATAATCTGATAATCCAGTGTATTGTGCCTGAACTACTGTCTCCATCTCTTAAAATAATAAGATTTCTATATCCCTTTCACCCCCAATGGTTGCTCCATTAGGGCCTGACCCCGGCCTTCCCCCCTGCTTGCACTGGGCAGCCAGGGCAGATCGTTTGCCCAGCATCTGCTCAAGCACTTCTCTCCATTTGGCAGAGAGCTCGTGCTGGGTTTAAACAGGCCGTGGACAACATTTCTCTACCAGGTGGACACTCTTTGCAGGGTCTGTTATCGCTATGGAACAATCCACAGAGGTTAGATGCACAAATGGCATTTCATGGCTCCCATCAGAGCCTCGGGATCCGCACCCACTTCCTTCCCCAAGCGCTGCCACAGCCCCTTCCTCTCGCAGGGCCCTGCATATGCTCTGAAGGTCACTACACCCAGGCTCCTGATTGTGTGTGTATCTGGGTGTGTGTCTGTGTGTGACAGAATTCCACACCTGGGGACTCTTCCTTGCCATCCCCACATGGCACAGCCGCCGCTTGCTCTAGCATGGGGCTGCATGTTCCGGCACAGGTCTAACTGGGCCGTACCAGCACCCTGCAGAGAACAGCCCTGTGCCAGCCACAAGGCAGGCTCCCAGGGGAAGCTCACAGAGGAGACAGGAAAACAAACAGCCCAGCCTCGAAGGAGAAGAGGCCTGGCTGGTTGGGGACCAACACGACCAGTTCTAACACTGCAGACCGCTGGGAGCCAGGGGCAAGGCCTGGCCTCTCCCTACTTAGGGAGCCCCCAGGCCAGGAAGTGCAGGGAGATGTGATGAGGGGGTTCAATTCCCCCCTTCACTCCCCGGGATCGCCCTACACACACACACTCAGTGCCCCACCCCTCGTACCCCCCAGGCCCCGGCCTAGGACCCCCCCCCCACCCCCTCGTACCCCCAGGCCCCGGCCTAGGACCCCCCCACACACAACCCCTCGTACCCCCCAGGTCCCAGCCTAGGACCCCCACACACACCCCCTCGTACCCCCAGGCCCCGGCCTAGGACCCCCCCACACACACCCCCTCGTACCCCCAGGCCCCGGCCTAGGACCCCCCCCCACACACACCCCCTCGTACCCCCCAGGCCCCGGCCTAGGACACCCCCCCACACACCCCCTCGTACCCCCAGGCCCCGGCCTAGGACCCCCCCACACACACCCCCTCGTACCCCCAGGCCCCGGCCTAGGACCCCCCCACACACACCCCCTCGTACCCCCAGGCCCCCCTAGGACCCCCCCCACACCCCCTCGTACCCCAGGCCCCGGCCTAGGACCCCCCCACACACACCCTCGTACCCCCAGGCCCCGGCCTAGGACCCCCCCCCCACACACCCCTCGTACCCCCAGGCCCCGGCCTAGGACCCCCCCCACACACACCCCCTCGTACCCCCCAGGTCCCGGCCTAGGACCCCCCCCACACACACCCCCTCGTACCCCCAGGTCCCGGCCTAGGACCCCCCCCCACACACACACCCCTCGTATCCCCAGGTCCCGGCCTAGGACCCCCCACACACACCCCCTCGTACCCCCAGGCCCCGGCCTAGGACCCCCCCACACACACCCCCTCGTACGCCCAGGTCCCGGCCTAGGACCCCCCCCCCAGGACCGGCCTAGGACCCCCACAGACACCCCCCGTACCCCCTAGGTCCCGGCCTAGAACCCCCCCCCCACACACCCCAGGCCCGGCCTAGGACCCCCCCACGCCCCCCCCTCGTACCCCCCGGCCCGGCCGAGGGCCCCGGCACCTGCGTGGGCGAGGCGAAGGTGAAGGACATCTGGGCCGGGCCGGCGGCCGCCTCGGCGTAGGAGCGGGCCGGGGCGCGGCGGCCGGGCAGGCGCAGCGCGCGGGGCCCGAGGGCCAGGAGGCGGCGAGCGGGCAGCATGGCGGGGCCGGGGCGGGCGCGGGGCGGGCAGGCCACCAAGGGCAACGGGGCCAGCGCGGGGCACCCTGGGAGAGGGACGGACTGCCACGCCCACAATGCACCGCGCGAGGGGCCGCGAGCGCTGGTGGGAGTCGCCGCCCTGATCGCGCTGGAGACCACAAATCCCATAAGGCACCAGGGCAAGGTGTGGGGGGGGGGGGGCCTCGCTTCTGCCGCGAGGGCTCATGGGAATGGTAGTCCTGATAGCGCCCCAAACTACAAATCCCATGATGCACTAGGGCCAGGGGGCTTTGCCGCCGCGAGGCCTCGTGGGAATTGAAGTACTCATCAAAATAATACTGAGGCTATGAATCCCACAATGCACTGGGGCAGGCCTCCGCTGCCTCTAGGACTCCTGGGAGTTGTAGTTTTTTCCTCCTGTGCCCCGCTATTTACTTCCCACCTATTTGTTTATTGTAGGGTCGGGTTTTCCTCCTACCTCCCCACAAAACCACTCCATAGTATTTATGACCAGGGCTCTTTGTCCCAGCATCCATTTCCACCTGGCGGGTAGTGGCATGCACAGGGCCCGTTGCATGCAGAGCAGAGACCATTTTATTAATAAACGTAGGGTAGTGGAGTTACGTATAAAGAAATGATGTGATTTACAGCTGTGTAACGGGACTCAGCCAGCTTGCCCTGGCCCTGCCAACGCTCTTGGGAGGGAGAGTCCCTGTGCCACTGTTTTGCATTAATTTTTAGGCAGTGTTAATAGTAATAATGTAATTAATTAATAAATATAGTTAGCTCATGTCCAGTGCTTTTCATCTTTAGCTCTCAAAGCCCTTTACAGAGGAAGTCGGTATGACTATCCCCATGTTATGGATGGGGAAACCAAGGCACCGTGAGAGAATCACCTGACCAAAGAAAAGTATTTCCCTCTGGCGAGGAAAGCTTTTTCATTTTCTTTCCCCTGCAGCCTGTGTGTGTGTCTGGGGTATTGAAATCTCACGGTTTCTGTCTCTTACATCTCAACAGCCTTGAAACGCAGTCCCCAAAACCCGAAATGTGCAACAGGAAAAAAAAATCAGTTTAGTTTAAACTCCACCAATTCCTTCGCTGTTGGTCCGATAGCCTCTGGAGCCACCATGCCACTAACAGTGCTTGAGACTCAGCAGCTACCATCTACCTGTTCAGAAATGGACACACGGAGGGACTGTGTACTGTGCATATTACCAGCTCTTAGCATGGAGGCCTGAGAAATAGCAGTCTTTATGCCCAATTCTGAATCATGATAGAATGAATGGAGGGGAATGGGAAGAGGGCCTCACAAGGATAGTGTCTGTGTGAGAGTGTCTGTGTGTGAGTGTTACCTGGCAGTGTATACATAACAACCCTATGGCACCAGAAGAGGGCACTCCATGCATGGAGATAGGATCCATTCAATCTTCTTTTCCAGTGCCGGGCATTTCATACACCACAAGGAGGAAACATCAACAGGAAAAGCTCCATCTTTAAAAGGAAACCCAGTTTGTCCATGCATGACTGATTGGTGGAAGTGTTTGCAGGTGTCTCTAGGTATGAAGGAATCATAGAATATCAGAGTTGGAAGAGACCTCAGGAGGTCATCTAGTCCAACCCCCTGCTCAAACCAGGACCAACCCCAACTAAATCATCCCAGCCAGGGCTTTGTCAAGCCGGGCCTTAAAAACCTCTAAGGATGGAGATTCTACCACCTTCCCAGGGAACCCATTCCAGTGTTTCACCACCCTCCTAGTGAAATAGTTTTTCCTAATATCCAACCTAGACCTCCCCCACTGGCAACTTGAGACCATGGCTCCTTGTTCTGTCATCTAGTACCACTGGGAACAGCCTAGATCTATCCTCTTTGGAACCCCCTTTCAGGTTGTTGAAGGCTGCTATCAAATCCCCCCTCATTCTTCTCTTCTGCAGTCTAAACAATCCCAGTTCCCTCAGCCTCTCCTCATAAGTCATTTGCCCCAGCCCCCTAATCATTTTTGTTGCCCTCTGCTGGACTCTCTCCAGTTTGTCCACATCCTTTCTGTAGTGTGGGGCCCAAAACTGGATGCATTACTCCAGATGTAGCCTCACCAGTGCCAAATAGAGGGGAATAATCACTTCCCTCGATCTGCTGGCAATGCTCCTACTAATACAGCCCAATATGCTGTTAGTCTTCTTGGCAACACGGGCACACTGCTGACTCATATCCAGCTTCTCGTCCACTGTAACCCCTAGGTCCTTTTCTGCAGAACTGCTGCTTAGCCAGTCGGTCCCCAGCCTTCAGCAGTGCATTGGATTCTTCTGTCCTAAGTGCAGGACTCTGCACTTGCTGTTGTCGAACCTCATCAGATTTCTTTTGGCCCAATCCTCCAATTTGTCTAGGTCACTCTGGACCCTATCCCTACCCTCCAGTGTATCTACCTCTCCCCCAGCTTCATGTCATCCACAAACTTGCTGAGGGTGCAATCCATCCCATAATCCAGATCATTAATGAAGACGTTAAACAAAATTGGCTCCAGGACAGACCATGGGGCACTCCACTTGATACCGGCTGTCAACTAGACATGGAGCCGTTGATCACTACCCATTGAGCCCGACAATCTAGCCAGCTTTCTGTCCACCTTATAGTCCATTCATCCAATCCGTACTTTTTTAACTTGCTGGCAAGAATACTGTGGGAGACCATATCAAAAGCTTTGCTAAAATCAAGGTATATCACGTCCACCACTTTCCCTATATCCACAGAGCCAGTTATCTCCTCACAGAAGGCAATCAGGTTGGTCAGTCATGACTTGCCCTTGGTGAATCTATGTTGACTGTTCCTGATCACTTTCCTCTCCTCCAAGCGCTTCAAAATGGTTTCCTTGAGGACCTGCTCCATGATTTTTCCAGGGACTGAGGTGAGGCTGACCAGTCTGTAGTTCCCCAGATTCTCCTTCTTCCGTTTTCTAAAGATGGGCCCTATTTTTGCCTTTTTCCAATCGCCACGAGTTTTCAAAGATAATGGCCAATGGCTCTACAGTCACATCAGCCAACTCCCTCAGCACCCTCGGATGCATTAGATCCGGCCCCATGGACTTGTGCATTTCCAGCTTTTCTAAATAATCCTTAACCTGTTCTTTTACCACTGAGGGCACTCACCTCCTCCCTGCACTGTGCTGCCCCCAGGGCAGCAGTCTGGGAGCTGATCTTGTCTGTGAAGACTGAGGCAAAAAAGAATTGAATAATTCAGCTTTTTCCACATACTCTGTCACTAGGTTGCCTCCCCCATTCAGTAAGGTTCCCACACTTTCCCTGCCCTTCTTCATGTTGCTAACATACCTGTAGAAACCCTTCTGGTTACCCTTCACATCCCTTGCTAGCTGCAGGGACAGGCAGATGGATCAGATTAGATGGGATGAGTCCCCAGGACAGTCCCATCCATTGCGTCAGATTTGTATGAGTACAAATTAGATTTGAGAATGTAATATGAATTTCAGATACATGGCATAGCCTCAGAGTTGGCCCCCCCATGCGCCCTCCCGCACCCCCATCCTTGACCCCAGAAAACCCCATCCACTCCTTCATCAATTATCACTCGCTCCCAAGTCAAGACCCAGCTCCCTCCAGCTCCTTAGCCGCCTCCCTCTGCACCTGTCAGTGCATGGGTTTCTATCGGTATTTGTCAGATACAAAGAAAATAGATCCAGGGCTTCCAGTCAGAGAGAGAGAGGAGAGAGAGAGCACTACAGATCCATCAAGGGAGTTTAGCTGACACCATGGTAATAAACCAAAGCCCCAGTGGCTTGCGGTGGCCTGATTCACAGTTTTCTTCCCCTGCTGTTGCATTCTGTGGACCTGAGTCTCTGTTACTCTGATCCTGCACTTGGGGTGCTCTGTTGCATTCTGAGGCCATGCCCAGCCCCCAGTGGAAGTTAGAGCAGCCTGAGGGTTTTATTTACAGAAAATAGCTGTAATGCAGTGCGCTCTGGCCACACACCCTACACACACCCCATGCCAGGGGCTGGGAGAGGGACAGTGAAAAACCTTTGTGGCCATTCTACACTGGCTGTAGAGGCCCCTGCCTAAGAGGGCTAGTTCTGGACACTCTATGCTGTAAAGGTGCCTTAGAGTAATGGTAACTCAGGCCCTGGATGTTTAAAGGTAATCACCAAACTCCAGATTCAGAGAAACCTGCATGGACCCCAGCCTACTACACCCTGACTCTTCCACGAGGACAGAGCCAGTCCCTAACACCCCTAGGAATCGGGGCAGTCCAAACCCAGATCCCAATCTTTGGTGAGACTCCATTGGAGTCATTGGGGTGGCACCAGGTTGGACACAGGAGGATCAAGAGGGACAAACAGAACCAACAGGATTAAAGGTTGCAGGGGGTTAAGTGTTGAGAGCATACTGGGGGTGGGGGGAACTGGGGCATCAGACAGGACTCAGCCAAACATGCAGTGAGACCTCAGGGTGTCTGAACAGGGCTGGCCTGTCAGAGCCCGATCCTGCAAAGTGCTGAGCGCCTTCGACTCCCAGTAACTGAGGGGAGTTCTCGGCACTGAGCCCCTTGCAGGACTGACCCATGTGCCAGGCAGAGGATTCCTAACCCAGTTACAATCCAGAGGAACAAACCACCTGATTAATGCTCTCCTACTTTTAACTGAGTGTATGGGGGGTGGGGCTGCTAGAAACCAGCTCCCATCCCTGGCCCTAGAACCCCTGGGGTTGTCTCTAGAACCAGCTGGGTGCTACACTGGGGACACCCAGCTGGTGTCTGCCTCTGCCCTGTCCAGCCACCACTGCCTCCAGCAGGCAAGAGCCCAGATCTGTCTCCTAGACCCATTGCAGGGTATTCCTAGAGGTGCCCCTCACCAGGGTATCTGGCCTCTAGGTCTGTGGTAGCCGGGGCCTCTTTGCAGGGGCGAGAAGATGGAACTGAGAGAAGGGAAAGGCAAGAAGATGCCCTGGGGTCTGCTGGGAGAGGGTCTCTGCCCCCTTTCTGCCAGCTCTGCCCC